ATTAGCATCAAATTCACATTTTTCCTAAAGTAGCTAAGAGTGAGATTTTAGAAAATAGTTTAGTTATTTTTTATCATTATACTTTTAATGAGGTTATGTCCTATCAAACCCGTTCGGCTAACGACCCTCCACCAATCAAGGGAGCGGTGGGTAAGAGTGGATACCTAATGGCGATCATTTTATAGGCCGCTTCCTTAAGCTCCCCTTATAGATCGGCTTCGTGAATGAGGCGTACTAGCGGTTCGATTGACTTAGTCTTATACATATCGTAAATATTAAACATTTAATTTTACATATAGTATAAGGTGTATTTAAAATTTTTTAAAATTCCAATGGTTTAATCTTTTAATAAATTAAACTTTTAATTTAATTAAATTTAAACCATCTTATGGATTTACTGATTATCTTTTAATTAATCGTTTAATTTAATTAATAATAAGATCCATAAGGATGTATTTTAAACTTTTCAAAATACTAGGGTTTAATTACTAAATTTCAAAAATTAAAACAATTTAATTTAAATTTAAAATTAAACCAAATGATTTATCTATTAATTAAACATTTAATTAATTTATTTAAATCAATTTTAGTATTATCCATTAAATTAATCAATATAATGTAACCTAATTCGAACCCCACTAAATTTCGAAAATCATGGGAGGGATACACCAAATCTTATAACTATCTAGATAATCAAATAAGAAGATAACTACCAAAAATAAGAAATCCCTTACTAAAAACCCTAATTTTCAAAAAAGACAAATCTTGGGGAGGAAGTCAAGGATTTCAATCCTTGCCATTTTCAAAATCCTAGAGGGTTAAGGAAACCCTAATTTCGAAACTTGTAGGACAAGGGAAATGGTTAAAACCCTTTTCCATATTTTCGAAAATCTAGGGTTAAGAAACCCTAATTGCGAAAAACCTAAGTCCATAGGGTTTATTTGCCATAAACCCTTGATCAAATTCAATAATTACATTCAATTCAATAGAAAACAAGCCAAGGCTTTGATACCACCGATGAGTTTTGAGCATAACAAACAATCCTATGTGTGCATGCAACCCTAAACATTTTTTATCTACGTTTTCTCTAATTGAACATACAACTTGAACAACAAAACGTAAACCCTAGCATGCTATTATTGTTTCGAAATACACAAATAGGGTTAGAATAATCATGCCTTGATCACTATATAGTAATAGCAATCCAAATTCCTTGTGTTGTTGAAGCCTTGAGAGCAAGTGTCACAAATGTCACGCCTCTAATGGTTCACACCCAACACTAGCAATGAAAGATGATTGAGAAGGAGGAGAAGGCCTCAAATTTTCATATAGATCTTCCAAAGAAGAGAATCACGAAATCCTAAGGGTATATCCATATTTATAGTGCAGTCAGGAAACCCTAAATAAGCCCTAATCCATGATTATCTTAAACCGGACAGTTATCAACTTTCCTGTTTATCTTCCAATGATAATTCTAGAATTCCTTAGGCATGAAGAAATCATCCAATCTTTTAGGAAAAATCGTCCATAGCCTATGGAGGGTTCTAGATTGCCTTTTGCTCAACTATTGAACAATTACAATTCAGTCCCTACACTTTTAATTAATTCTTTTAATCCCGAAATTAATTCTAATTAATTTATGATTAAATATTAATTAAATAATATGATTTCTAATTAATATATTATTTCCATAATACATTAATAAATCATTTATTTAAATTTATTAATCAAATTAATAAATTAACCTCTTTATCCAAAATCATCCTTCTCGGTTGCTAGTCTTGAGGGCAACCCAAAAGGACTGTGCTACTATCAATTTAAGCATATACCAATTATAGTTATGGGCTTAGACACCTAATCCAACATTAACCACCTTAAGGAAGTCAAATATGAGCTTGGGTCGTGGTCTTAATCGATTAAGAGCTAAAATGGGAAAGTTGGCCAAGTTGGTGAGTACGTGATGCGTACAAGCCCTTTAAGCATGTACGTTGCGTGTACAAGCCCTTTAAGCAGTACGTTGAGCGTACAAGTTGAGTATGCCTTGCGTACTCCGCAGGATTGGATTTTGTTGTTTTGGGCTTCAGTTTTGGGCTTGGGTGGGCTTGGTTGTCTTGGGCCATGTTAGGTCATCAGAATTCTTTGGTTGGGTTGTTGAGGTTTTGTTGAACTCTCTTGGGAGAAGGCCCATGAAAGGGATTGGGGCGAATTTGGAAAATTAGGCCATATTTGGGCTTTGGATGATTATTATGGATTTTGGGCTTTATGGACAATTAGATTGGGCCTTGGCCTTGGTCCAAGTTAGAGGAAGGGTAAAAAGGTCTTTTACCCTACTTTGGACTCTTAGTGTGAGTCGGGACCCAGTTATTAATTTGATGTTATTTTGGTAATTGATAGCGCGAGGATTTTAGCGGATTTGCAGTCAGAGATTTATCCGTGGGTTTCAATTGTCTGAGGTGAGTATTCTCACCATAACCATGGGTCGAAGACACCAATGCCGACCCATTACTTGTTATGTGGAATGCTGTTTGTCCTTGTGATCCTTGATTGGAAGACCCCGGGGGTAGCCCGTGGCATTTGTATGGAAGACCATAGGGGTAGCCCATGGTACTTGGATGTCATACCATGGGGGCAGCCCATGACATTTCAAGGAAAGACCATGAGGGTAGCCCATGACACTTGAATGTCAGACCATAGGGGTAGCCCATGGCATTTCAGGGAAAAGACCACAGGGGTAGCCTATGGCAAATGTAAGTATGGTATGTGGTATTTTAGGGAACTCACTAAGCTTTGAGCTTACAGTTTTCAGTCTATGTTTTAGGTACTTATGTTTTCAAAGGGAAGAGCTCGAGATGATTGTAGATCACACACCACTTCGTCCGCATTTTCTTGATTTACTCTGATGTGATATGATGATTGATACATTTGTTTTATTTGGATTTTTATGATGATGTTTTTGGGGATACCGGTTTTATTAATTTAAAAACGAAAAATTTTGGGTCTTATTTTTGAGATGTTATAAAACAACCAACCCCTCTTTGTGGAGGCTAAAGTTTTCCCAAATATGAATGAGAGGCAAAAAAAAAACATTTGTGGTTCTTAAGGCTAGGAAGAAAGGAGGCGCCAAAAAGGTTGCCTTATATAAGCAAACCTTTATGCCAAATTTGCACACCAAGCAAACCTCTTAAATAAGGTGAGCTTTGATGCTAAACTTGCCAGCCAATCAAACATTTTAGGTAATGACATAATTATCTATAATTTGATCGATAATTACACAATCATAATTAAACGTGTAATTGCAAATTAAGGGGGTGTTTGGATAGGGAAAAAATGGCTGCTTATTAGCTTATTGCTTATTCTCACCACAATAAGCTAATTTAAGTGTTTGGATAGGATGCTTAAAAAATCAGCTTATTGTGGTAGGAATAAGCAAAATAAGCTGATTTTAATAAGCAATGGGGGGAATGCTTATTGCTTATTGGTCATTTTACTCATATAAACTGTTTTATTTTGCCAAACACTTAAATGCTTATTGCTTATTGCTTATTCCCACCACAATAAGCTAATCCAAACACATTTTAAAAAAATGTTTATTCCCACCACAATAAGCAAATAAGCAATAAGCTAATAAGCTAAAAACTATTTATCCAAACACCCCCTAAGTTCTTCTCTCTTTTATAAGTTCTAATTAAACCATTAAACTATTGATGAATAACAAAATAATCAATTTATTTATTATTCCTGCTTTAAGATTGTACATTATGCGCAATCTAAAAGACTTATGCAAGCACCGGAATGTTAATAATATGTTGTGCCAATGAACATATACCTAACACAAACATTGTTATTATACAAGCACATATAATGTAATAAGTATGACATTCACTAGATCTATAGTGAAAACACTACCACCATAGAAACCCCCACATATAGAAGCACCAACACCTCCACCACATGATGAAATCATTAGAAAGTTGGTCGATCATGTGGCCGAACTAAAGAAGCAATTGAGATTCTTATATGGTTATGTGCAGTTGCAAGATGAACATATAACCCTCCTCGAGGAACGTATACGAAAACTTGTTAGGGTTAAGGTAAACATTTAAATTTTCATAATAACTTCTAATTATTCGATTAACGTCGCCTAACCTATAATGAACGTACAGTGGGGTGGGTAGTCTAACATGCCGAAAATGCTAGATACGTTTTTCAAATGTTTAACATATTTATTCGATTAATTAACATCACCTAACTTATAATGAATGTACAGTGGGGTGAGTAGTCTAACATGTTGAAAATGCTAGATACATATTTCAAATGTTTCAAAATCTTTATTCAATTAATTAATATCGCCTAACCTATAATGAATGTAGAGTGGGGTGGGTAGTCAAACATGCCGAAAATGCTAGATACATTTTTCAAATGTTTAAAATCTTTATTTGATTAGCTATAATGAATGTAAAGTGAGGTGAGTAGTCTAACATGCTAAAAATGCTAGATGCATACTTCAAATGTTTAAAATCTTTATACGATTAATTAACGTCGCCTAACCTATAATGAATGTACAGTGGGGTGGATAGTCTAACATGTCGAAAATGCTAGATACATATTTCAAATGTTTAAAATATTTATTCGATTGATTAACGTCGCCTAACCTATAATGAATGTACAGTGGGGTGGGTAGTCTAATATGCCGAAAATGCTAGATACACTTTTCAGATGTTTAAAATCTTTATTCGATTAATTAACGTCGCCTAACCTATAATTAATGCACAATGAGATGGATACTCTAACATGCCAAAAATGTTAGAAAAATGTTTAAAATCTCATAATTTGTCGTATTTAAAGATTTTAATTATTATTTAACTGATTAAACTTTTTATAATCGTACTTTTTATACATTAATTGTTCTAAATTTTAACAAGACACATCAAAAGTATCAACTAATCAATCAAAGCCCTTTTAACTGATTAAAAGTCGTTACAGTCTCACTTTTACTCCGCCTATTTTACAACGTAACAGCAGTTATAAAGCGTGCTTTCCAATTGTACAAGTAGCTTAATGCAGTGGGTACAAATTTCTGAAGCATGTATGGCAACAACTGTTAGAATCGTATCATCCTTATTCGCTGCCTGCTGCAAAACACTGTATCTCTTTTGTGGATGAAAACGATGCATCACCGATCGGGGACGACGACGGATAATGAGATTCTCGCGGTGGCAGAGGCAGCTACTCGTATTGGCAATATCACCGGCCGACCAATCATTCCGATCGCCCCGACATTCTTCACCTACTCTGATCCTGTCTCCCTCCCTGCAAATACTTTTTTGTTCCATGAAAAATCCAAAAACGAACAAAATTCTGAGATCAGAAGAGGCGTGACACTGACATCATGATCGTCGTCTTCTTAACTGGAGCAGTTGGATCTGATGATCAAAAGGAACATATTTATCAGCTTTCACTCTTTTCCAAAAACAAAAAGAAGAAAAGCGAGCGCGGTGGACCATGACTTCCGACGATCTGAAGATAAAAAAAGGGTACGTTACCTTTATTCCCTCTGTCCGCAACTCCCGATCGTTAATTTGGTCTGGATATAAATTATAAAGTGTTGGTGAATCTGAAAAAATAAAAGTTTTCAGGGGGTAAACATGTTCGTTTGAAATAAGTAGGGGATGGTTTTTGTACTTCACTTGTTCACGGGAAAATTCACTTGAAAACGACATGACATTATATAATGTTTTGTTTCATTTTACTTTTATGGATTACATCGGAATAATGAATTCATTTATGAAGAATCTCTCATTCGTTGAATGTTCTCTCAATTGTCATGTTCATTATTCCTTCAACTTAAATTCAACTGAATATCGTTTTTTTACTTGCTTATTCAAAACTTAGTAAAAGTTTTACAATCGGTTGCGTAATAACATTTAAATAAGACAGATACAATCTAAGATTTTAATCACTTAAAAATGGTGACCTGATCATTTAAATGGTATATATGTATATGTTTATGTAGGTAGGCATGCATCTATGTTAATATGTATGTAAATATGTTGGAAAACTTAAAGGTAAAGAGAAACAAGGGTTGTCATATTTCCTTGTTTCATAAAAATTGATTTCGAACAAATTAATGATCAATTGGAAAAACTCATCAAAGAGGTGATTCCGTAACCCAAGAGCTTTCCAAATGGCTCCTAAAACTGGCATATGATCAGGAAAGGTTTGGTCATTATGAATAACAACTCAAATATGAATTCAAGTACCCTAAAGAAAATAGTTGTAAGTGACGAAGACTTTACTTTTATAAAAAAATACAATTTGTGCTTGCTATGAAATGATTGCTTATAACTGATTTTAACATAATATTACAAGAAATATTAGTACATTTCTAGTTATTCGGACTGTATACAAATACTATAAGATTTTGAGGTCTGTATGTATCTAGGAATTATTTGAAACATAGTTTGATGAATGACATTGATGTTAATAATGGTGATTGTTTTGACATCGATGGCTGATGGATGAATAGTGGTGGTGGACCTGTTGATGACGGTGGAGGTGGTGGTGATATACGAGACATTTGATATTATGGGTTGGTGATGGTGATGCCCAATATTTAAGCAAATCATAGCAAATCGATATTTTGGAATATGTGGCCATTCGCTTGGAAACATACAAAGGATAAGGGCAGTTGGTGGTTGAAATGTCAAAAACAAACAAACGGGAATTTAATGAGGATTAAAAATTATTTTGCTCAAATCGAACAACCATGTTTTTGTTTATCTATTCTAATTAATAAATAGATAAATGTCATCTTCTTATTGAACTTGCCACATGTAATTTTATGGTTTTTTTTTTAATAAATTTAAATCCACATATATATATTTTTGGAAACGACGAAATTTTATTAAAAAACCACTGCCTAAAAAAACAAGACAGGACAACAAACAACAAAGACAAGATTACACAATGTTGAGAGGAAAACAACACCAAGTTACCCGGTTACAATTCCCAAACTGCCCTCTATGTGTCACCCAATTGAATACAAGGCTAAGAATATTGTCACTCACTTTTGCCGGAGCAACACACACTTTGTTGAATAGCCTATCACACCGCACTTTCCAAATGCACCAAATATAACCGTAAATGATGGCAATAAACACCTTAGGTTTTTTAGGGCAATTGCCCCAATTGGCAGCGAACGTAATTATCTCCCTGACAGAATCAAAGTACTTCTGTCAAAGTAAAGTACTGATATGCGATGCCACACCACCTCATAATACGAGTTAACACGTCACGAATGAAACAACATTCATCAAAAATGTGGTCAGTCTCTTTGATATCATCACACCATTGACAATTAGAGTTGGCAATATTAATCACACGACACCAGAGTTCACCCAGAGTGGGGATTCTGCCCATACTAGCTCTCCATATAAAGTAGTTGACATTCAATGGCATGGTACGAAGCTAGCGGGTGACATTAGACATCGAGCCAGTTATATAGGAGTCAATTAGTAATCGCAAATCACGTACATTAAACTTGCCATCGTTAGACAAGGTCGAGCACCAAGAATCGGGTCCATCGGAAAGGGTAATTGAAGATACCAACCTTTTCAGCACATCAAATTCGGATAACTCCACCTGGAACTTCGGTTGTCTCTTCCAAGCCCAACCTCCATTAGAAATGCATAGTCTTTCAACAATAAAACATGATTTTTTTCCCGGTCCAGCTCATAAATATGAGAAAATTTGGTAGCAAAGTCCCCATCACCCATCCAATTGTCAAGCCAAAAAAAAAAATTCTTGCCAGATCTAATTTTTGTTTCAAAAAACAGACGATAAATTGATACAAATATTTTCTAGTGCAACAATTGTCTTGGTGATATTCAGCCGTACTCCCGAAATGGAGTTCTTAGCAAGTGTAGATATCGGCTTCTTGTACAAATTGTGAGTCCCACAGATAACCCTACGCCAAAGGGCATTTGGATCAGATTTGAATCGCCAGATCCACTTAAACATCAAAGCCCAATTAAGAGAAACCAATGATCCAATTCCAAGTCCTCCTTTATCTTTAGGACCTAAATCTTGTTTTTATCTTCATTACCATCCCAAAGAAATCGTCTTCGCAATTTCTCTAATAAATTTATAACGGAGCTGGGCGCCTTGAAGATAGAGAAAAAATCGAGAGGCAAGCTGCCGAGAACTGATTTGGTATGGGTAGCCTGACCACCAAACGATAAAATTTTGGCTTTCCAACAGGAAAGCTGCTTTTAGACTCTTTCAATGACTGGCTGCCAATTCCTCTTAAGAGCCATATTAGCTCCAACCGAGACACCTAGAAACTTAAATGGAAAACTACCCACCTCACATCCAAGAATACGGGCACAATTGTCGATTTCCCCATCCGAGACTCCAACACCATATACTTTAGATTTATGGAAGTTCACCTTTAAACCGGAGGTTGCATGAAAGCACCTAAGAATACGCGCCAAATTTATGAACTTGGTGCTTTCCCATGTACCAACAAAAATAACATCGTCGGCATAAAAGAGACGCGAAACCGAAGGACCATTGTTTGGGATGTTGATACCATGATAAAGAGATTTTTGACATGCGGTTTTCAAAGCGACATTAAGACCTTCCAATGCTATAATAAAGAGGAACGGGGAGAGCGGGTCCCCTTGTCGAACGCCTTTAGTGATTGGGAACTCTTTAGAAGCCGAGCCATTGATAAGAACGAAAGCACGAGATGACGACAAACAACCCCTTATCCATAATCTCCAATTTATACCGAATCCCATTTGAGCCATGATCGAATCAAGATACGTCTAATTAATGGAGTCGAAAGCCTTATCAAAGTCCACTTTAAATAGGAATATCCTTGTCTTAGATCTCTTTGCCCAAGAATAGACTTCGTTAATGATCATAGGCCCATCAAGGATATTTCTTCCTTCAACGAAAGCAATTTGGACTTCACCAATAATAGATCCAATAACCCGTTTAATTCTTGAGGCAAGGGTTTTCGTGATGATCTTATACAAACACCCAATTAAGCTAATAGGTCGGTAATCACTGAGAGAAAGGGGGTCTTTGACCTTAGGAACAAGTGTAATGAATGAGGAGTTGCAGCCCTTGGAAATTGATCAAACGCTTTCGAATTGCTTAACAAATCTCATAACATCATCCTGCACAATATACCAAAATTCTTTGAGAAATTTGAAAGTAAAACCGCCAGGGCGACGCTTTCTCATTCCCACAACTCCAGATGGCGCTCTTAATCTCATCAAGTTGAATGGGGGCCTCAAGAAAACTCCTATCAGATTCTGAGAGGGAAGCAAAGTTGGAGTTGGAAAAAACCGGCCTTGAGCTGCATTCCTCTCTAAATTTGGCGCCAAAAAAACGAAGAACCTCATTTTTTTATGGGATCAACTCCGGTGATCCCTTCGCCATTTACCATCAACCCATTAATATGACATTTTCTGATCTTAGGTTTAAGGGAATTGTGATAAAATATTGAATTTTCATCACCGTCCGTTAACCACTTAATTTTTTATTTTTGCATAAGATCCATTTTTTTTTTTAATTTTTCCAAGTGCAAGATTTGTTGTTCACAATCCCTTAAACAAGAAAGCTCCACCTCATTTAAAATCTTTGTTTCCGCAGCCAGATCCAATTCGCCAACTTTTATTTTAAGACCAGAATACATTTTGTTCTCCTTTTCCCAATCAATTCTACGCCAATTTCGAATTTCATCCTTTAAATACTTTAGTTTTTTGGATAAGTAACGATCACGGGCCCCCACCCTTGAAGTCCCTCCACACCCTCGTTACAATTAAATCAAAACCATCTCGCATCATACAGGAATTATAAAACCGAAATGGTTGGGGGCCGAAATCAAGACGGAATGTGCTAAGGATCACCGGAGAATGATCGGAAAATTCACAAGGTAAGGCCAACACAGAGTCCGAAGGAAAGCAAGCAAGAAAGGAGTGATTGACGAGCACACGATCCAGTTTACTGAGTTTACAACCAACTTCACAATAGTAAAATCGCCTACCCCCCATATTGAGATCAATCAACCCGGCATCGTTTATAAATTTGTTGAAGTTGGCAGCGATACGTGGACAAAACGCCGAATTGAAACGTTCATCCGGTCTCCTTACTGCATTAAAATCCCCGAAAACAACCCAATTACCTTGTCTCGAATTCATCAAATCAATAAGCTTGGACCACAAATTTTTTTTGTAAGATGGGGTTTGAAGGGCATAGACGTTTACCAAAATGGTTTCACCCGCAATACCATTTCAGTAGCCAGCAATAGCCAGGAAAAATCTCGATTTATAAATCCACATGTCATTTTGTAGTTTTTTTTAATTAAATTAAAATTAATGTTTTCATTCTATTTAATTAGAGAATGAATGATCCATAGATGTTTGATTCAAGAACACAATTAATGCAAAACCTACTAATGCTTATTAGCAATACGAAAACTCAATATCCATTAGCTTTAATCGAGGAGAGATCGGTTAATTTAAAATTGATATCCTTAGTTCTTTTAAATTTTCTTTGTGGACACATTTAACTTACCGTACAAATATTTATGATATTTAATTTTCAAACCTAATTTCCTCACTGTAATAACCTAATTTCCTCACTGTAATAAAAAAAAATGTATTTGTAGCTTCAAAAGGTTTATACTTTATTTTATTAGATCATATTGTATACAATAAATATAAAATCTTGATGTTTCTCTTATTAATATGAGATGATAAAAGAGCTTGATTTATTATTCATGCATGTATTATAGTGATAATTTCATTGATTTTTTTTTGTAGTTTTATTAATTGTACTAGGTGTAAGACTCGTGTGTTATACGGGTTTTTTGAAATAAATAATATAAAATTTTGAAAATTATTAAAATAATACAACACATATAAGTGAAGAGTTTATTGAATAAGTATGTAACTGAACCCAAAATACAAAAAAAAATCATTAATGAAATATTCTAAATAATTTTTACAAATCATAAATTTCCAAATACTTCTTTGAATACAACATTATATGTCTTATTGGTAGGGTTTCCTTCGTTGTCTAAAATTAATATTTTCAATCCGTCTCTGCTTTTAACTCTAGACAATGCAACATACAACTGTCCATGAGTAAACACTGGTTGTCTAAAAAACAAACCCAACCTTTGATAGCGATTGTCCTTGACTTTTGTTTATTGTCATCGCAAAGAATACAACAAGTGGAAACTGTCTTCACTGAAATGTGAAATGAATCCTTTTATCCGACGGGGTCAGTGACATTCTTGGAATAAACGTACGTTTTCCTATATTACTTCCAGAAATTATCTCTGCTTCTATAACACGCTTACCCAATGCTATAACTCGCAGCCTTGTTCCATTACACAAACCGTATTTCTGGTCAATATTCTTCAATAACATAACTGGAACACCGACTTTTAATACCAATTTATGAATTGGCATACCTGAAGGTCTAAGGCCATTTAGAACATCAGGAGAGTATAAAGATTCGTCAAAGTCATCGTGTACAAACTCCGATTGACAAAGACTG